GGTAGCGTGTGTAACGAGGTCAGCCCAGTACAGCTCGGCTCGGTAGCGTGTGTAACGAGGTCAGCCCAGTACAGCTCGGCTCGGTAGCGTGAAGCGGGTGTGTGGCCCACAGTAACAGTGCCTCCAAGACTTTGACCTGTCTGGCTGTGTACCTCCCCCCTCCACACTAAGGCTGCACAATGAATCGGCTTCATGTCAAAATTCGCAATATTGACATGTGCAAGATCCCATTATCGCAAGAGATCCATATTTGCATGCAACGTTTTGAAATGCATTCAGACGCGTGTAACGTCCGTTAATTTTTTTAAATAGTTTGTCAGGCTGTGTCTCTCCTCCACACACACACACACACACACACACACACACACACACACACATTACCTCCATGAGTTTGACTTGTCGGGCGTGGTCCTCCAGGGCATGTGTGTGCCTCTCCTCCACCTCCTCCACCTTCCTCTCCAGCTGTCTGCCTCTCTGCTGGGCCTCCTCCCACTCCTGACGACACCGCTCCAGACTCTGCTCCAGGGGAAGCAGCTGAACACACACACAGAACATATTATTAGCACGTGTAACGTGGAGTTAAGAGCCCCTCAGCTAGCTTGAAAATGTTGCCAACGGAGCTATCAAATAGAACGCTTTTTCTTATAGCTCAATCGGCTCGTACGTTGTCGAGCAGGCGGTCACGTGTGTTTGGCGAGGTAGAGGACCCTGGTTTCAAGCCCAGACGGAGCCAAGTTCAGGAAGGGAACGCTACATGCTAAGCTAGCACACACAGAACATATTAAAACATGAAATAACTGGTTGTGTATCTGGACAGCCTTCATCTCAACATGTTTACGGCTTAACTTTGCATTACTGTCTCCTCTCCCGATAAACCTTTCAACTCTTCAATCATTCCTCAGCTCCTTATCTCTGAAGCACGAGAGACTGATAGACAGAGAGAGTATAATCACAGATAGAATATGATCCATCCACTCGTGACTCAATAGGGGAAAATATCCACCACACCTCTTCCTGTAGTTTTCTGGCGTTCTGTTGTGATTTCTCCAGCTCCATTCCCTTTTCCTGCAGCTGTTGTTGGACCTCAGTCAGCTCTGTGTGGCTCTTCTCTCTGACTTCATCAACCTGGAGCTGGAGCTTCTCAGCCGACGCCTCACACTCCTTCACTTTAGCACTCATCTGGAGCAGAGAGAGAGAGGGGGAGAGAGAGAGGGGGAAGATAGGAGGAGAGAGAGAGAAGGGAGAAGATAGAGAGAGAGAGGGAGAGAGAGAGAGAGAGAGGAGCTAAGCGAGAGCGAAGCTCGATGAGACCTGGCTCGGAGCTAGAGGAAGAGCGGGACGGAGGAGAGACGATATGCGAGGCTCGCGCGGATCTATAGAGAGGCAGGCGAGGCTTGAGGACGGGGATATAGAAGCGAGAGCGACGGAGAGAGATCGGTGGAGGGGGGGGGGGTCTAGGGAGGGTGGGGGGGTGGAGGGGGGGGTGGGATTGGGTTCTAGATAGTGAGTGGAAGTGGGTAGACAGACTGAATGGTGTTCATTGAACATTCCCCCCATGATAGATTATGTTTTTCATGCAACGCCTATGATTTGCACTGGTGACAACTCTAGGGTAATTCACGAGTATCATAACTTCTAGTACTTATAGATAAACCCAGCAGCACTGAAGGGCGGAGACAAATGGAGGTCAATAAAATGATACCACTCCTCTTCATAGAAACACAATGTTCTTCTCAGTGGCTTCTGACCTCCAGTACAGCTTCTCCCTTTCCCTCCTCCTCTCCATTCCTCCACTCTACTCCTGCAGTTTCTCCACCGTGCTGACTTGCAACCCCCTCTCCCCTCCAGATAACTGTTCTCCTCCTCCAGATAACAGCAACTCACTGCCTTTCTGAAGACAAACAATGTATACGAAATGCTTCAGTCTGGTTTTAGACCCCATCATAGCACTGAGACTGCACTTGTGAAGGTGGTAAATGACCTTTTAATGGCGTCAGACCGAGGCTCTGCATCTGTCCTCGTGCTACTAGACCTTAGTGCTGCCTTTGACACCATCGATCACCACATTCTTTTGGAGAGACTGGAAACCCAAATTGGTCTACACGGACAAGTTCTGGCCTGGTTTAGATCTTACCTGTCGGAAAGATATCAGTTTGTCTCTGTGAATGGTCTGTCCTCCGACAAATCAACTGTACATTTCGGTGTTCCTCAAGGTTCCGTTTTAGGACCACTATTGTTTTCACTATATATTTTACCTCTTGGGGATGTTATTCGAAAACATAATGTTAACTTTCACTGCTATGCGGATGACACACAGCTGTACATTTCAATGAAACATGGTGAAGCCCCAAAATTGCCCTCGCTAGAAGCCTGTGTTTCAGACATAAGGAAGTGGATGGCTGAAAACTTTCTACTTTTAAACTCGGACAAAACAGAGATGCTTGTTCTAGGTCCCAAGAAACAAAGAGATCTTCTGTTAAATCTGACAATTCATCTTGATGGTTGTAAAGTCGTCTCAAATAAAACTGTGAAGGACCTCTGCGTTACTCTTGACCCTGATCTCTCTTTTGACGAACATATCAAGACTGTTTCAAGGACAGCTTTTTTCCATCTACGTAACATTGCAAAAATCAGAAATTTTCTGTCCAAAAATGATGCAGAAAAATTAATCCATGCATTTGTTACTTCTAGGTTAGACTACTGCAATGCTCTACTTTCCGGCTACCCGGATAAAGCACTAAATAAACTTCAGTTAGTGCTAAATACGGCTGCTAGAATCCTGACTAGAACCAAGAAATTTGATCATATTACTCCAGTGCTAGCTTCCCTACACTGGCTTCCTGTTAAGGCAAGGGCTGATTTCAAGGTTTTACTGTTAACCTATAAAGCGTTACATGGGCTTGCTCCTACCTATCTTTCCGAGTTGGTCCTGCCGTACATACCAATACGTACGCTACGGTCACAAGACGCAGGCCTCCTAATTGTCCCTAGAATTTCTAAACAAACAGCGGGAGGCAGGGCTTTCTCCTATAGATCTCCATTTTTATGGAACAGTCTGCCTACCCATGTGAGAGACGCAGACTCTGTCTCAACCTTTAAGTCTTTACTGAAGACTTATCTCTTCAGTAGGTCATATGATTGAGTGTAGTCTGGCCCAGGAGTGTGATGGTGAACGGAAAGGCTCTGGAGCAACGAACAGCCCTTGCTGTCTCTGCCAGGCCGGTTCCCCTCTCTCCACTGGGGTTCTCTGCCTCTAACCCTGTTACAGGGGCTGAGTCACTGGCTTGCTGGTGCTCTTTCATGCCGTCCCTAGGAGGGGTGCGTCACTTGAGTGGGTTGAGTTACTGACGTGATCTTCCTGTCTGGGTTGGCGCCCCCCCTTGGTTTGTGCTGTGGTGGAGACCTCTGTGGGCTATACTCGGCCTTGTCTCAGGATTGTAAGTTGGTGGTTGAGGATATCCCTCTAGTGGTGCGGGGGCTGTGCTTTGGCAGAGTGGGTGGGGTTATATCCTTCCTGTTTGGCCCTGTCCGGGGGTTTCTTCGGATGGGGCCACAGTGTCTCCGGACCGCTCCTGTCTCAGCCTCCAGTATTTATGCTGCAGTAGTTTATGTGTCGGGGGGCTGGGGTTAGTTGGTTATACCTGGAGTACTTCTCCTGTCTTATCCAGTGTCCTGTGTGAATTTAAGTATGCTCTCTCTAATTCTCTCGTTCTCTCTTTCTCTCTGAGAACCTGAGCCCTAGGACCATACGTCAGGACTACCGGGCATGCTGACACCTTGCTGTCCCCAGTCCGCCTGGCCTTGCTGCTATTCCAGTTTCAACTGTTCTGCCTGCGGTTACGAAACCCCTACCTGTCCCAGACCTGCTGTTTTCAACTCTTAATGATCGGCTATGAAAAGCCAACTGAGAGACCTGAGCCCTAGGACCATACGTCGGGACTACCGGCCGTGGTGACTCCTTGCTGTCCCCAGTCCGCCTGGCCTTGCTGCTATTCCAGTTTCAACTGTTCTGCCTGCGGTTATGGAACCCCTACCTGTCCCAGACCTGCTGTTTTCAACTCTTAATGATCGGCTATGAAAAGCCAACTGAGATTTATTCCTGATTATTATTTGACCATGCTTGTCACTTATGAACATTTTTGAACATCTTGGCATGGTTCTGTTATAATCTCCACCCGGCACAGCCAGAAGAGGACTGGCCACCCCTCATAGCCTGGTTCCTCTCTAGGTTTCTTCCTAGGTTTTGGCCTTTCTAGGGAGTTTTTCCTAGCCACCGTGCTTCTACACCTGCATTACTAGCTGTTTGGGGTTTTAGGCTGGGTTTCTGTACAGCACTTCGAGATATTAGCTGATGTACGAAGGGCTATATAAAATAAAATTGATTGATTGATTGATAACCACTCTCCTCCTCCAGATAACTCCTCTCCTCCTCCAGATAATCCTCTCCTCCTCCAGATAACTCCTCTCCTCCTCCAGTTAACTCATCTCCTCCAGATAACTCCTAACCCCTCCAGATAACGTATCTCCTCCTTCAGATATCCGCTCTCCTCCTCCAGATAACAAATATCCTCCTCCAGATAACATTTCTCCCTCCTCCAGACAACAGCTCTCCTCCTCCAGATAACTAACCTCCTCCTCCAGATAGCTCCTCATCCTCCTCCTCCTCCAGATAACTCCTCCCCCCTCCTCCTCCAGATAACACCTATCCTCCTCCAGATAACGCATCTCCTCCTCCAGATAACTATTCTCCTCCTCCAGATAACTAACCTCCTCCTCCAGATAACTATCATTCTCCTCCGGATAACTAATCTCCTCCTCCAGATAACTCCTATCCTCCTCCAGATAACTCCTCTCCTCCTCCAGATAACTCATATTCTCCTCCAGATAACTCATCTCCTCCTCCAGATAACTCCTCTCCCCCTCCAGATAACTCATCTCCTCCTCCAGATAACTCATATTCTCCTCCAGATAACTAATTTCCTCCTCCTCCAGATAACTCCTCTCCCCTTTCTCCCTACTCCCCTCCTCTACCCATCCCCCCTCCCACCCTCCTCCCCTCCGCACCTCCTCCCCTCCTCACCTCCTCCTTCAGTTTCTCCACAGTGCTGTTCTGCAGTCTCCTCTGCTCCTCCAGATCACTCTTCATCCTCCTCAGCTCCCCTGTTCTTCTCTCCTCCTCCTTCAGCCTCTCCTTCACCTCCCTGTGCTGGTGGTTCAGCTGGGTCAGCTCGCTCTGTGAGAGGGAAGAAACACAGAAACAGGACTGTGTCAGTGTGTGGAGAAACTAAGGAGAAGGAGAAAACAACAGGTTGTCCTAAGTTGTTTCCCTGTATAAAGTTGGAACTATTTTGAAGAGTTGTTTCCCTGTATAAAGTTGGAATCTTACAACAAGCCTACTATTTATTTCACCTGTACGTTCTCCAGCCTTATTAGTAGGGCTTTGTTTGCCTGGCACAGGTCCTCTTCCTTCTCCCTCACCTCCGCTAGCGTCCCCTCAACCTGCTGCTTCTCTCTCTGTGGGATCACATTTTAGTATTGTATTATTACGTTAGGATACACTCTATCTAAAAACTCAGTTGATATTTCAACACTTGAGGATGCATTTTAAAGAACATCCTACTTCATTGAGAGTCTGTATTTCCCTCCCTCTCCCTACCTCACCTTGAGTTGCTCTATGCATTTCACCAACTGTCTCTGCAGAGATTTGGACTCCTTGATGACGAGGTTGAGCTTCTCCACCCTGCTCTCCAGCTCCTCTACCTGGGTTAGTGTAGAGATGGGATACATTATGTCAGCTTCGGGACAACCTGGTCTCAGAGCAAAACGTATAATATTTACTAAAGTCGGCGCCACTCCATTTAGTATGATATGTTAGGCTACATTACATTGGGCTACCAATGTAATAGCGGTAGTACAATATAATATGAATTGTAGGACATCTAGTATCCTACGTCTTGATCGTTTAGTATGATATATTACGTTCAACTGCTTTAGTATGATATGTTACGTTAGGTTACACTGAAAAAAAAAAATCTTGATGATTCCACTAATAAATGTTTAGTAACTGGTTCCACAGCCATTTTTTCTTCACTCAACTTTTCAGTCAAAGTGTTACCTGAACTTAACATTTTTAGTGGGCCCAAACTTTGGCTAGGGACACACACAGCGCTTTTAACATACAATGTTTTCAACATACATATTTCACACACAACGACATTGTGGATGTTCGTTGATGCAGTAAAGGTTATTCAACACCTTCCTCATCTGGGATTTGAACTCACAACCTCTTTGTTCACAGTATTCTGATCTTCCTGCTACGCCACCATGTTTTGTCAGTTATCAGGTAATCTGACTATTCTCTCATCATTTAATTTATTTACTTATTGACTTATTACAGGGTTTTTCTGTTTTAATGTTACTCCTTAATCACTATAATAAATACAATTGTTTGAAAAGGCTGAGATTTACTTTGAAATGCAAAGTGTAGGAATACAAGTGAATTCAGTCATTGACACATCATGGTAGCAGGAAGATAGTAATGCTGTGGACCAAGAGCTTGTGAGGACGTGTTGCATATGAATTACTGTAAAACATGCACAATGTCAACGTGTGTCAAATATGTAAGTTGAAAACATTGTATTCAAATCTCTATTTGAATGTGTGGGTGTCCCTAGCCTAAGTTTTCTCAAGTTGGAGCTAAGTTTGGGCCAACTAAAAACTTCCAAGTTCAGGTAAAACTTTGACCGAAAAGTTGAGTAAACTAAAAAAGGCTGTGGAACCAGTTACTAAATAATAATTAGTTAAATGAAAAATCTATATTTCATTTTTTTTTTTTTTTTACAGTGTAGGTGTTAAGGTTAGGAGATAGATTAAAGGGTTAAGGTTAGGGTTAGGGTTGGCTAACATGCTAAGTAGTAAGTCGTTTAAAAGTTGCTAAAGTTGTCCGTGATGAGATTCAAACATGCAACATTGGATTGCTAGATGTTCGCGTTATACATCAACACATCCACCCCGAACAACCACCCTCTTTTAGTTTTTGCCTTAAGCAACCTACTGTCATACCAAAGGTAACATATCATACTAATTTAAGTGTCCCGGATTTACGTAGGCCAATGTAATGTAACCTAAACATAAAGTAACATCTCGTACTAAATGGAGTGGCATGGATTTTAGTCAAATATAAAATGTTTTGTCTGAGACCATTATGGGTATTGTAGTACATCATTATGGGTATTGTAGTACATCATTATGGGTATTGTAGTACATCATTATGGGTATTGTAGTACATCATTATGGGTATTGTAGTACATCATTATGGGTATTGTAGTACATCATTATGGGTATTGTAGTACATCATTATGGGTATTGTAGTACATCATTATGGGTATTGTAGTACATCATTATGGGTATTGTAGTACATCATTATGGGTATTGTAGTACATCATTATGGGTACTGTAGTACATCATTATGGGTATTGTAGTACATCATTATGGGTATTGTAGTACATCATTATGGGTATTGTAGTACATCATTATGGGTACTGTAGTACATCATTATGGGTACTGTAGTACATAATTATGGGTATTGTAGTACATCATTATGGGTATTGTAGTACATCATTATGGGTATTGTAGTACATCATTATGGGTATTGTAGAACATCATTATGGGTATTGTAGTACATCATTATGGGTATTGTAGTACATCGTTATGGGTTTTGTAGTACATCATTATGGGTATTGTAGTACATCATTATGGGTTTTGTAGTACATCATTATGGGTATTGTAGTACATCATTATGGGTTTTGTAGTACATCATTATGGGTATTGTAGTACATCATGCCCCAGTACCTGTCCCCTAAGCTCCTCTCTCTCCTGGATCAGCTCCTTCACCTGGCCCCGGGCCTCCCCTCTCTCCTCCTCCACCTCCTTCTTCTCCTGGCCCAGCACTGTGTTACTCTGACAGGGAGACAGAGGGAGTCAGAATACACACAGGATACAGTATGTTCAGTGGGAAATTAAGTTACGCCAATGAGCCACTGACTGGGATGTTCAATTCAACTCAATTCAATTCAACTCTACTCAACTTAACTCAACTCAATCTGCCACCCTGTCTCTCCCGTCGTTACCTCTTTCACCTCCTCCACCTCCTCACGGAGCTTCTGCACCTCCTGAACCCCCTCAATTGCCAGCTCCTGTCTGGCTCTCCACCTCCTCCTTCAGCGCTCCCTTCAGGGCGTCACTCCTTCCTCAGTGTGCACCTCCTCTGCTCCTCTGCACCTATGCCCCTGGAAGTCCACCGCACTGGGCCAGTCCTAAACAGCAATCACTCAGTAACCTGGGCCAGTCCTAACAAGACAGGTCACTCATACTGGCCCAGGTCCTAACGCCGTACCTCAGTACCGGCCAGGTCCTAACGCGTACACTCAGTACCCTGCCAGGTCCTACCACAATGCACCATTACCTGCCCGGTCCTAACACACATTGCACTCGTTAACCTGGGCCAGTCCTAACCAACAACACTCAGTTAACCTGGGCCAGGTCCTAACACAGACAGGTCACTCAGTTAACCTGGGCCAGGTCCTAACACAGACAGGTGCACTCAGTTAACCTGGGCCAGGTCCTAACACAGACAAGTACACTCAGTTAACCTGGGCCAGGTCCTAACACAGACAAGTACACTCAGTTAACCTGGGCCAGGTCCTAACACAGACAAGTACACTCAGTTAACCTGGGCCAGGTCCTAACACAAACAGGTGCACTCAATTAACCTGGGCCAGGTCCTAACACAGACAAGTGCACTCAGTTAACCTGGGCCAGGTCCTAACACAGACAAGTACACTCAGTTAACCTGGGCCAGGTCCTAACACAGACAGGTGCACTCAGTTAACCAGTAGTTCAGACTCAAACCCTGTGCATCAGAACCATCCTAAAAGCGGGCCTGGGTTTACTTCCTGTGTGTTTATGTGTGTCAGAGGGGTTTGGGACAAAACAGAAGATTAATTTCCGTTTCCCTGCGACAACGGACAATAAAGTAATAATCTTCTTCCTCTCTTCAAAGTAGAAAATACACATCGTATTCGCCTTATTGTGCCAGCCTCGTACTGAACATATAATGCTTGTCAAGTTTATCGATTTTAGGATTATGTAGAATAACATATGTAGTACACCCTCTACATGGAATATTATTATTATTTTTGTAATAGTTTTTTATTGTTTAAAAAAAAAAAAAGTAGATAAAGACAGACCATAATGGATAGTAACAAGTCTGTGCGGAATGTACAACATGGAATATTCTGGATCAAAACACTGTGGTAGATTAAGAATGAACCGAGCTTTCTCACAGCCCGTTCCTTACCTTCAGAAGGAGCTGTTTCTCTGTGCTGTCTGCCTGTGTCGTGTTCTTGGCCTGGTCCAGCTCATCGTGCATCTCAGAAAGCTGCTGCTGGAGGTCCTTCATCTCTGTACGGCCCTGCTCTCTCTCTGCCTTCACCTGGACTAGCCTGAGGAACATACGCATTTGTATCTTGTCTCGAGAAAGGTCACTGGGCTTTAATAATCACGGACTCCAAATATACAGACCACCTCACATTCTGACCTGTATTTGTAACATAAGTCTGAGGAACCACAGGGCACCGGACAGAGAAATCATAAATTGTTCTACTAGACACCAGTGTGAGGTAATTTCACAATTCACAACGGCAGGTTCTGAGATCCGCTCATATCTCCACATAAAGGTGTAGTAGTGTCTAGCCGGGTCCATTTGGGATTGGGCCTTACTCGTCTACGACAACTTCAAGCTCCGCCTCCATCCCAGCCAGCCTATCCCGTAGCGTGGAGAGTTCCCCCTGTCTCCTGTCCAGTTCCTCCTGAACGGTCTTCGTGTCTGTCTGGGCCCTCTCGCATGCCTCCATTAGGTTCCTCCCACTCTACAGGACACACAGAGTCCCCTCCCCAATGTTATCATTTAAGCCACGGAGGATTTACAGTACGATGCGAACTACACGTTTTATGTCGGTTCGCGTTCATCAGCCACCAAAACAGAAGAAAGAAAACGACTCCGGGTGAAACTGCTTTTACTCTACCGTGGTCTTATGCTCCAACTGTGTCTTCAGCTGTGACACCTCTCGCTCCAGCTCTGCTGTTTTCTGCTGTAGCTCCTTGGCCTCAGCAGCATAGTCCTGCCGTGTTGGGACACACACACACACACACACACACACACACGCGGCCAATAAACATTCCCCTCATTAGAAACCCTTCGGTTTTACAGGACATTGGTTAAAGTAGCCTACGTTTCAGTGTGGACAGACCCACCCTGATCTCCTCCTCCACGTTCCCTGCGGTCTTCCACTTCAGTTGGTGGATTCTGTCCAACACCAGGTTCACCTTCTTCTGAGTGGTGGAGGTTTTATCAGTGGTCCTGAAGGAAAACACAAGCATACCACAGTCATTTAACTACTGTCCAGAACAACATACCAGTCATATAACTACTGTGTGTAAGATAATGAAGGCTGATGTGTGTGTGTGTGTGTGTGTGTGTGTGTGTGTGTGTGTGTGTGTGTGTGTGTGTGTGTGTGTGTGTGTGTGTGTGTGTGTGTGAGCTGAAACAGCAATCCTTTATCAGAAAGTAACAGATCTCGTTCACATTCTCTCCATCATATCATTAAAGGTAGGATATGAGAAACGTGTAATGGTCACTTGGGATCAGAATAGAAGTCATTCTGTTCCATTTAAATTCAGTCAAATCAGAAGTGAACTGAATATTCAAATTCTCCTAATTGGAATGGAATGGGATCAGAATTGACCCTCTTCGATCCCAATCCTCAGTCTCGCTGGCATCTTGCCAAAGAGGTTCTCTCACAGCTCAAGGTTAAATGAGTAGAGAATCATGAAACTAATCGTGGTTGAGCTACTCCAGTGTAATTTACCCATCCTTGAGGTAAGTGAACAGCATCTGTTTTGTGGCGTCTTCATTTGGTTGTTGTGGTTCAGTTGAGCCGTGCTGCGGACCCCTCTGACCTTTTAGAAGATCTGGAGTGATGACCTGGTTACAGAGCAGAATATCAAGGTGTATCCACCGATGGGGCAGTATTTTAAATGCGTATTCCAGTTACTTTAGAGTATTTTGACATCTGTATTTCTCTGGCCTGAACTACAATACAATATATTCTGTAATACACAAAATACTTTTGAGAGCTGTAATTAGTATTTTCAAAATACAAAATACTTGTCTATAAAAAAATGTTTTTATAGCAGTTCACAGTTTTGTGGCCCCCTATCACCCCAAATGTGCTGCATTGGTAGCAGACGTCTGATGGAACTATAGTGTGATAATAACATCTGCTAAATTACCAAAATGTAAATGTTAAAAAATGAACACTTGCAAAGCACGCTGGGCATTATTCCAATGAACTCCGCCTCCGAAACAAGGCCAAATGTTATTACAATACAAATTGCGGAGCTCATTCGAATAATACCTAGTGTGTTTTGCAGGGGTTAATTTTTACATTTACACTTTGGTTGAGGGCTTAATTGAAAGGGGAAAAAATGAAAACCTGCAAACACTAGGCCCACCATGGAATGAGTTTGACCCCCCCTTATGTGAAACCACACATTTCACTGCACCTATCCAGTGTATGTGACAATACAACATATATATATTTTACTATAATATACAGCCCCTACTGCAGTACTACTATAATCTACACCTACTACTGTAGTACTATAATACACACCTACTACTGTAGTACCATAATATACACCTACTACTGTAGTACTATAATACACACCTACTACTGTAGTACTATAATATACATGTACTACTGTAGTACTATAATACACATCTACTACTGTAGTACTATAATATACACCTACTACAGTAGTACTACAATAATATACACCTACTACAGTAGCACTACAATAATATACACCTACTACTGTAGTACTATAATATACACCTACTACAGTAGTACTACAATAATATACACCTACTACTGTAGTACTATAATATACACCTACTACTGTAGTACTACTATAATATACACCTACTACTGTAGTACTACTATAATATACACCTACTACTGTAGTACTATAATACACACCTACTACTGTAGTATTATAATATACACCTACTACTGTAGTACTATAATATACACATTTTTACATTTTAGTCATTAAGCAGACGCTCTTATCCAGAGCGACTTACAGTTAGTGAGTGCATACATTTTTTTTCTTCTTCATACTGGTCCCCCGTGGGAATCGAACCCACAACCCTGACGTTGCAAGCGCCATGCTCTACCAACTGAGCTACACGGGACTACACCTACTACTGTAGTACTATAATATATACACCTACTACTGTAGTACTACTATAATATACACCTACTACAGTAGTATTACAATAACATACACCTACTACTGTAGTACTATAATATACATCTACTACTGTAGTACTATAATACACACCTACTACTGTAGTACTATAATCTACACCTACTACTGTAGTACTATAATATACACCTACTACTGTAGTACTATAATACACACTTACTACTGTAGTACTATAATACACACCTACTACAGTAGTACTACAATAATATACACCTACTACTGTATTACTATAATATACACCTACTACTGTACTACTATAATATACACCTACTACTGTAGTACTACTATAATATAGACCTACTACTGTAGTACTACTATAATATACACCTACTACTGTAGTACTATAATACACACCTACTACTGTAATACTACTATAATATACACCTACTACAGTAGTACTATAATATATACACCTACTACTGTAGTACTACTATAATATACACCTACTACTGTAGTACTACTATAATATACAACTACTACTGTAGTACTATAATATACACCTACTACTGTAGTACTATAATATACACCTACTACTGTAGTACTATACCTGTAATACACACTATTAAAACCTCATTACCTGAGTTTCTCTCTTTGACTCCTCATCGGTGTGGTTGAGAGATCTGGATCTGGTCAGGGAGGACTTCTCCACTCTGTACCGTACCTTCAACGCTCTAGGTGACACAACGCTAGGCTCCTCCTCCTTCTCCCACTGGAGCATATTAAACATCAGAGTGGAGGGTCCGTTGGCCCCTCTACCCTTAGGTGATCCGGGGGCGCTGGTGGCTCCCCCTGGAGTCTCTCCCCTGGCCCCTCTGACGGCCGGGGCAGGGCTGGAGGGGTCCGATGGGTCTGAGTGTCGCTGTCGGCTGCTGTCCACGCTGCGTGACCTCCTCCGGTCCTCAGGGGCTATTCTCCCTCTCCTAGGCCCAGCTCGGCCCATCTGCTGGGGGCTGTCGAACTGGTTGATAAGGCTACCTATGGAGGAGATGGGCTCTGTGTCCACTGAGTTGGAGGATCTCTTGGGGACGTTGGTGACCTCGCTTGGGGGGCTTAGTAAGGTGGTAAAAGAAGGGTGGTGTGGAGCTTGGGCTGAGACAGGGGCAGGGCCTGGGCCTTGGGTCTGGGTCTGGATGGGAGCTGGGACATGGCCTGGGCCTGGGCCTTGGGTCTGGGTCTGGATGGGAGCTGGGACATGGCCTGGGCCTGGGCCTTGGGTCAGGGTGGGAACTCTCTCTATACCCTCAGCAGGCAGAGGGATCCTGGCTGGTCCTGGTCTAGACCCTGCTCCCTGGGTCAGGGTGGCCCCTGCCCCACTCTGGAGACCCCTGGTGAGATGTCCCGGCCTAGGTGCAGAGGCTGTCTGAGTGGGGGTAACAGAGAGTCTCCGGGTGGGGGAGAGGCAGGGGCTGAGGGGGCTACGGCTGTTCCTGTCTGGGTCGTAGGGTTTCAGCAGCTCCGGGTGTCTCTGGAAGTTCAACACCGTGTTAGATGCCGGCATGGTCCTCTGTGACTGCTGTAACTGTGACTCCTGGAAGTCGAACATGGACACGGTGGACGCCAGCGGAGTCCTCTGTGACTCCCTACCCTCCCTAACCCCAGTCAGAGAACCTCCATGAGCATACTCCCCCTGGTGGTTGGGAAGTCTACGCTCCATATAGGGACTACCTAATTGAGATCGTTCCACATAAGGACTACCTAATGGAGATCGCTCCACATAGGGACTACCTAATGGAGATCGTTCCACATAAGGACTACCTAATGGAGATCGCTCCACATAGGGACTACCTAATGGAGATCGTTCCACATAGGGACTACCTAATGGAGATCGCTCCACATAAGGACTACCTAATGGAGATCGCCTATCATTCACCGTGGAGGCGTAATCAGACTGGCTGTGGGCGTTGACAGACACTTCCTGGTGGTCCCAGTTCCTGCTGTAGCTCTCCAGGCCACCAGATGGCAGAGCTGCTCTACTATCCCCGTTGTTCAATACAACGTAAGGATGACCCTCAATCCCCCTGGACTTGTATCCTCACCCCGAACATACTGCTCTCGCTGTGGGGGCGAGGGCTGCCTCTGGGACCAGGACCAGGCTGCTGCGTGTTGTATTCCTGTTGTAGTCTACTGAAGTCTGAAGAAGAGCCACTCGCTCCGTTTCTGTGAGACTCCATTTACGGGGTGTCAACTTAAGAGACAATGTTAAGACAACGTTGTGTTGTGGTTGTGTGTTTGCTGGGTCTACACTAGTCCTGAATGAACAGAGGACCTCCCTCAGAACTGAAGAGGTTCACAGCTGGGTCCACACTAGTCCTGAATGAACAGAGGACCTCCCTCAGAACTGAAGAGGTTCACAGCTGGGTCCACACTAGTCCTGAATGAACAGAGGACCTCCCTCAGAACTGAAGAGGTTCACAGCTGGGTCCACACTAGTCCTGAATGAACAGAGGACCTCCCTCAGAACTGAAGAGGTTCACAGCTGGGTCCACACTAGACCTGAATGAACAGAGGACCTCCCTCAGAACTGAAGAGGTTCACAGCTGGGTCCACACTAGTCCTGAATGAACAGAGGACCTCCCTCAGAACTGAAGAGGTTCACAGCTGGGTCCACACTAGTCCTGAATGAACAGAGGACCTCCCTCAGAACTGAAGAGGTTCACAGCTGGGTCCACACTAGTCCTGAATGAACAGAGGACCTCCCTCAGAACTGAAGAGGTTCACAGCTGGGTCCACACTAGTCCTGAATGAACAGAGGACCTCCCTCAGAACTGAAGAGGTTCGCAGCTGTAAAGGAGCAGATCCAACGGGTTAGAGGCTGATGCTTTATTAGTTGACTAACCATTACCAAGGCTCTTCTTAACCCGGAGGCTCCAATAACCACCCTGTCTTTACAACAGTTTACCCCATGGAAAAAATACATCACTTTCTATGGCATCAGGTGGATGAGGTGACTGTTTACAAAACAGAGAGAAGTCATGTGGCCCAACTAACAACAATGACGTCCCAAGAGCCTCTGATGTCACTCAGACAGCTGCGCTAAGCAGCAAGCCACAGACAGTTACGGAAAACACCACCATCAACAGCACATTGAAATGGAAAACAACTCCTTCAGTGTGCTAACAGTGTAACTATTGTATACAGGACACTATTGCTGCATGACGACTACCACTGGCCGTGATCGCTCCTACCACGTTGTCATCATACATACATACACACACACACACACACACACACGCACGCGCCGATCACACTGTTGTCATCTACAGTTGATGATGTGATGAGATGGCACTTGAGGGAAAATCAGTTGCGGACGGAACGAGCACACACACACACACACACACACAAAGACACAGACACAGACACACACACACACACAAAGACACACACACACCACACTCATTTGTTTGTTTTAGAACAATGTATATTGTTCTTGAAATAATCTAAATGCAAAAGCACAGTATTCAAATATACAGTAGGTAACACTTGGTTACCTTATTCCAGTAGTTTAATCTCTTTTGGCCGTGTTTTCACAAGGGCTGTATGTGGTCCATTTTCTAAACTCCAAACTGGTAAGATTTGTAAACACAGCCGGTCTTACATTCAAAACCTTTCATTGTGTATTCATTTTGTTTGTAGAAATATTTCACCACACAACCATTGACCCAAAATATAAGTTTACCTTGAAATATAATGAGTTATTTTAACTACCAGTTAATCCAATAGCAACAACTTTAAGATACGTGTTTAAAAATTGCCCTTTGAACGTAATATGCTACAGAACTGTACATGACAGTATATTACACTGTTTTCACATTAGGCTTACACTACCCATTAAAATGTACTGAACATAAAATGTCCATCATTTCTCTCCCATGTGTGATCATTGAAGACATCTTTCACAATTAATACAATTAAGGAAATGAAAGAAACAACGTTTAGCAGACACTAGTTTGCATCAAGCCTGTCTTGAACATTTGACCATAGGTTCTCATAGAAATCGCAGTAAATATCCTAATTGTTCATTCAGCTGGGGGGAAAAACCTTTTGGCATGGCGAATCAAAGCCTGACATAGGTCTGGATTGAAATCATTGCATGTCTCATCCTCATGGCCTGAAGTACGGTGGTACGTTAATTGGTTATGGCGATCATACATCTTCCACCTGTGTTGTAATCGTGTATTGTATTATACACTATGTATTTTAGTGGTCTTGTATGGCTCAGTTCCTAAGAGCATGGCACAAGCAACACCAGAGTTTTGGGTTCGATTCTCAATGGGGTCACCTACCAAAATGTGTGGACTGCTACGCAAATGGCATACATTGCGGTATTATAGACTCTCCCCATGAATACGTTTACCAAACGTTTAAGTGATCATCAATTAAGGAAAGTCGGATTAAGTAATAGTAAAATGTCTCTTAACAACAGAGAAGAGAATCATATCGAAAGTAATGTGAGCATTGCATTGTGAAAGGCAAGTACTTTATATGAACAAGTATTGCAATGTGAAACCTGTACAGTATTTCTAGATGAAACACTGATTACATTTGATGAAAAAGTTTTAGAGTTTTGAAACAACTTCCTTTTTGATTATCTGTTTTGAGTTTTGTACAAAAGAGTTGTGAAAATGTACTACATACTTGTGAAAATGGCACCAAAGCGATAAAAAAAAACGGTATTGGTTACAGTTTTAAAATAGGTCTACACTTTTTAATGAAAATAAATAGGACATAACTTTTTTTAAGTAACCAATACCAAAAGAGTGTCTCCTTCAGAAGTACCTTATCAGCCTCTATTTGTACGATTGTAATTAAAGACAAAGGATACACGCATTAATACTCCTCTATGCAATTTCACCAGCGGATAATAGAACGCCACCTTTTACTACCGGATCAATCGATGTTCTTGAACAATAAGATAGCCTACCAGGCAATGCCGAAACTAGAATCACATCATAAAGCACTAACTGTGCAATTGGTTCAAGTAACAGCTAGACAGTTTAGAAAAGTGTTCCTGCGCGCAAATCCGTTTTAATGGACTTACCTAAATTCGCGTAGTTCTGTTTGAAAGTAGTGCAGTACACGCTGGCTGAAGTGACGGTCCACTTGTGGGAGCTGTTGTATGGAGCTCGGGGGATTCTCCCTCCGCATTCCAGACTGTCTCTATTCAAAAGTAGGCCTACTTGCTCCCCCTAGCGGAGCTGTCCAGCGACTCAGCAAATTGCGCAGTTGTTCATCATTCTCGTCATCATCCTCGTCATCATTATTAACGCCTCGAATAATAAATACTCTATGTCTGATAAAAACATTTTTTTTAGGGAGAAATAAGAAATACTTCTGATATCTTAAAAACATTTATTGCATTTTATGAACAAAACTTCTGTACACAGACTGTACATTTTATGGTTTACATTTACTGAAGATGACATAGGGGACAACATACATGTAAATAGCTGGAAGGTATAGGTTTTACAAAGACATCCCCCGTTATGGAACTCTCCAATATACACTATGTTGTGGATTGCTCAGGGAATTAAACATAATTATTTAAAATGTCTAGTAAAATATGTGACAAAAAATACTTCTGACGAAGGGTTAACCCTAACCCTAACCCATTTTTAGTTTAAAATTAAAGATCTGTAATTCAGATATTTACTTATTATTAATTGTAGAAAATATAAACTATAAAAAGCTAGTACAAAGTCATCAATATTTTCAATAAAAACTCTGAACAATTAGGCTACAAATGGACTAGTACTTAACCAAAAAGCACACATAGCTCCAAAAAATCTGACTCAGCCAAGCGCACACATGCGCGTACAACTAAGCTTGTATCAGCCTAAGAGGTCAATACTGACGTAGGAGAATAGAATCAAAAGATGAATTAAACATTGCATTATTACACAAGAAAGTGTTACGTTATTTTTCTTCACTGTACATTTTTCTTTCACTGTACATAACGAATATAAAACATACAAAACATTTGCTGGTTAAAATACATTTGTCAGGAACAAGTTATAAGTTTAGGCACAAGTCAAATTCCAACAGGAGGATCAGGAAATGTCACTATCATGACCATTTAGCTGCAGCAACACTTCCTCTGTCTCTTCGGCAGCAACACTTCCTCTGTCTCTTCGGCAGCAACACTTCCTCTGTCTCTTCGCTACTTGGTCTTAGATCCTACTTTACAGAGAAACAATGAAATGTCCTTGGATGGTGTCGGATGGTCTTTAACGTCTCAGGATGATCCTCCTCCACACTTCATATGTAGAAAGAAAGAATAGATTATTTAACTTGGATCAACAGCAGATCAACACATGCTACCAAAGAAGAAGAAGAAGAAGAAGAAGAAGGAGTAGTAGTAGTAGTAGTAGTAGTAGTAGTAGTAGTAGTAGTAGTAGTAGTAGTAGTAGTAGTAGTAGTAGTAAAAGTAGTAGTAGTAGTAGTAGTAGTAGTAGTAGTAGTAGTAGTAGTAGTAGTAGTAGTAGTAGTAGTAGTACTGAGAGATGTTACTACCATATATGCCTGAGCCATGGAGCAAACAAAGCATGTGCACCCTCACTATTAAAATAAGGGGGTGCAAACTGTTTTTGCACCTCCACTTTCTGTACCAGAAAATTATTATAATCCATTGGGTAATTTGTCAATTTTCACTTAATTTTTTAGCTAGTCTGTATTAAAAATAGATATATCTGACCATTTTATAAATTATATAACAATTACCATCTAAGCATGCTTGTTTATTACAATGCAGAAAACCGCATGTCTCGAGCCGAAACCGTTCAAAGGTGAGGCCAGGACCCATATTACCAGAGCATAATCTTATTATTTATTTCTATCAGGTTTCACAGCAGCAATTTATGGAGTTATATAGGTGCCAATTAAAACACATTTATGGAGGTATATAGATGCCAATTAAAACACATTTAAAGCTGATAACGGCAAATAAATAATACCTTTGCAATTTATTTTACAATTTATGTACACATAATCTGTGACCAAATTAAAATGCAAAACTCCAGTGTGTACTTCCAACTTCAAGTATGCATACTGTCTGCCAAATATATTATGCAGTATGCAGTATACTGTCTGCCAAATTGAAAATGAAAAAGCAAAGTACATTTGAGAGTTATTTTTCAATGCCCTACAAGATTAACACTGCCATATTGAAAATGAAAAATAAAATGGTTAATAGATACATCAAAGTTGAGATTTGCATTGCATTACATTGTTGTAATCTTCTTATTTGTGACAAAAATAAAATGTAAACATTATGTGCAAGTTGACAATGTTGCGTTCTGTCAAGTAAACATGGATTCCCCTTGTTGAGAAACAATATAGAATTGCAGGAAAATGGTTAAAAAATATATCTAAAATGTTCTGGGGGAGGACCCCCAGAACCAGCCGTAGATTGTGCACCCCCCGCTTTTATACAAAGTCAGGCGCCCATTCCCATACCTGTCAAATGTTTATAGATGTCCCACGGGGTTAGCTGCCTCTAGTCCAGGATGTAGCGATGCCTGGTGTTGCTGCAGGCCCTGGGCGTCCGTTAACCCAGCGGACGTATTCTCCTGCTCCCTCCTCCTCAGACAGGCTGCCTTGGGGTTCAGGTTACGCTCTAGAGGTAGCAGATCACAAGGACATCAACATTAGGACTGTCCCATAGACCAGCCAGGGAACCAGGACATCAACGTTAGGACTGTCCCATAGACCAGACAGGGAACCAGGACATCAACGTTAGTACTGTCCCATAGACCAGCCAGGGAACCAGGACATCAACATTAGGACTGTCCCAGAGACCAGACAGGGAACCAGGACATCAACGTTAGGACTGTCCCATAGACCAGCCAGGGAACCAGGACATCAACATTAGGACTGTCCCATAGACCAGACAGGGAACCAGACAGGGAACCAGGACATCAACATTAGGACTGTCCCATAGACCAGCCAGGGAACCAGGACATCAACGTTAGGACTGTCCCATAGACCAGCCAGGGAACCAGGACATCAACATTAGGACTGTCCCATAGACCAGACAGGGAACCAGACAGGGAACCAGGACATCAACATTAGGACTGTCCCATAGACCAGACAGGGAACCAGACAGGGAACCAGGACATCAACATTAGGACTGTCCCATAGACCAGACAGGGAACCAGACAGGGAACCAGGACATCAACATTAGGACTGTCCCATAGACCAGACAGGGAACCAGACAGGGAACCAGGATCAGACATGGTATGACTCTATTATCTTACGTAACCCCCTCTGGTGTTTATTTTTCAGTACGTTTAGTACTTGTTAGGATTCTTTCTCTCCTTCAATCTCTCGTTCCCTCTCTCTTTCTCTCCTTCAATCTCTCGTTCCCTCTCTCTTTCTCTCCTTCAATCTCTCGTTCCCTCTCTCTTTCTCTCCTTCAATCTCTCGTTCCCATCTCTCTTTCTCTCCTTCAATCTCCGTTCCCTCTCTCTGTCTCTCCTTCAATCCTCTCGTTCCCTCTCCTCTTTCTCTCCTTCAATCTCTCGTTCCCTCTCTCTTTCTCTCCTTCAATCTCTCGTTCCCTCTCTCTTTCTCTCCTTCAATCTCTCGTTCCCTCTCTCTTTCTCTCCTTCAATCTCTCGTTCCCTCTCTCTTTCTCTCCTTCAATCTCTCGTTCCCTCTCTCTTTCTCTCCTTCAATCTCTCGTTCCCTCTCTCTTTCTCTCCTTCAATCTCTCGTTCCCTCTCTCTTTCTCTCCTTCAATCTCTCGTTCCCTCTCTCTTTCTCTCCTTCAATCTCTTGTTCTCTCGCTCTCGCACTCCCCCCTCTCTTTGCCTCTCTTTCTTTCTCGCTCTCGTTCATGCTTTCTCCCCAACTCTCTCTCTCTCCATCTCTCCCGCACACCCACCTCTCTCTCTGTCTGTCTCACACACCCTCATCTCTCCCTCTCTTTCTCCATCTCTATCTTTCTCCATCTCTGACCTTAATGGAGGAGAGAGGGAAGAAGCCGTGCCCACGCCATCCCGTAGACAGAGAGGAGGATAAATAGCTTAATGTTCCACTGAAGTGAAGTACTTATTCATTCAACCTTTATATACAGTGCATTCGGAAAGTATTCAGACCCCTTCCCTTTTTCCACATTGTTACGTTACAGCCTTATTCTAAAATGGATAAAAATTAAAAATTTCCCTCATCAATCTACACACAATACCCCATAATGACAAAGTGAAAACAGGTTTTTGCAAATGTATAAAAAAATAAAAACAGAAATACCTTATTTACATAAGTATTCAGACCCTTTGCTTTGAGACTCGAAATTGAGCTCATGTGCATCCTGTTTCCATTGATCATCCTTGAGATGTTTCTGCAACTTGATTGGAGTCCACCTGTGGTAAATTCAATTGATTGGACATGATTTGGAAAGGCACACAGCTGTCTATATAAGGTCCCACAGTTGACAGAGCAACTGAGAGCAAAAACCAAGCCATGAGGTTGAAGGAATTGTCCGTAGAGCTCCGAGACAGGATTGTGTCGAGGCACAGATCTGGGGAAGTGTACCAAGAAGTGCACTGAAGGTCCCCAAGAACACAGTGGCCTCCATCATTCTTAAATGGAAGAAGTTTGGAACCACCAGGACTCTTCCTAGGAGCTTACAGAACAGGACTGCAGGAAGCTGAGAAAAAATTGAGGAAAACTAGACTTCCGGTAGACAAGATGGCGTATTGAATACACAGCGGTACAAACCACCTCAAGATAAAAACATAATATTCAATATCAGTAATCGGTCGAATAAAGGAACACCCGATACTAGCCAATTAGGGATTGTAATAATAAAGCACATTTTATAGTATTTATAGTATTTTATAAAGGGATAAGACGGTATTACAAGCAAAATAATACATCTTCAAATACAACTAATTAGAACACAAGTACTCAATCAACATAGTGGAGATAAAAACACAGCAAACAGAAGACATAGAAGGCACAGTATGTGGTTATGTGTGGATGAATTGTGATGGAAGGTGTGGTGTGCGTTTTGGTGTTTGGAAAAGTGTGGCGTTAAGTGAGTGAGAAAGGAAATGGTTGCACATCCCAGAACCAACGTGTGTCTGTGAGCAGGGGTTGTGAGAGAGAGCTTTCAATGTTGTGCAGATGAGGGATATACATTTTAAAATAAAGTATACATCTAATTTATTTATTTATTGTCCTATCATGATGGAACGGTCCCCAACCCTATATCCTAGACACCCACCTGAGCGACCCATACACCAAAGAGAAGTCCCCATCTGTTTTATGGACCTGCTGTGAGTTGCCTATATGCAGCCAAAACAGAAAGATAAATGCGGTCAGAGACCTACTTGAGCAGCACCGCCCCCTCAAGATTCTGAGCCTGCCTGGCAGGGTTGGTCCTACAAAGCCAGAGCCCCCTGATGGGAGAGCATTATATACAAGGACATTATCAAAACTGCTAATGAGAACCTTGACGACCTTGTACCTAGCTGGTGGGGATTCCGGTGGGGTACCCCCACCCAGGTAGTGGCAGTGCTGGCAACACTGGCTGCAGTAACCCATGGGGAGGGGGTCACACTCTGACAATCAGAGAGGGGGAATATTATTGTGGCCCAGGTGGCACAAAATAATCAAAGGTCTGACTGCAGAGAGATGCCTGGGAAAAATGGTTACAACGGGGGACAGGGGAAGAGGGTGGATCTGATCTCCATCACCTAGGACTTTACATAGGTTAATCAAATCTCACATTGTTGTCAATTTTTGCTCGATCTTGCATGCTTTTTCAAACAGCTGTAACTCTATATGCATTCGTAAATCAGGTCCTTTCTTGAGTTGGGCTCTGGGATGTAACAACCGTTGAGCATCTGATCTTATGGTTGATTGTGGAGGAAAGGGGTGGAGTGTGTTAGAGTGTGTGCGTGTGTGTGTGTGTGTGCGTGCGTGTGTGTGCGTGCGTGCGTGCGTGTGTGTGTGTGTGTGTGTGTGTGTGTGTGTGTGTGTGTGTGTGTGTGTGTGTGTGTGCGTGCGTGCGTGCGTGTGTGTGTGTGTGTTTATCCCACATCTGTTGAAAGGGGATAAGGATGTTAGGGAGAATATAGGATGAACCACAATAATTGTTTGCTAAAATAATAATTGCATGACAAAAATGTAATGTAATACAATGGCAATTTGGTAGCATTGCTTTTAAATTGTTTAACTTGGGTCAAACGTTTCGGGTAGCCTTCCACAAGCTTCCCACAATAAGTTGGGTGAATGTTGGCCCATTCCTCCTGACAGAGCTGGTGTAACTGAGTCAGGTTTGTAGGCCTCCTTGCTCGCACACGCTTTTTCAGTTCTGCGGCCTTTCAGGTTATGTCGATATAGGACTCGTTTTACTGTGGATATACAGTAGATACTTTTGTACCTGTTTCCTCCAGCATCTTCACAAGGTCCTTTGCTGTTGTTCTGGGATTGATTTGCACTTTTCGCACCAATGTACGTTAAATCTCTAGGATACAGAACGCGTCTCCTTCCTGAGCGGTATGACGGCTGCGTGGTCCCATGGTGTTTATACTTGCGTACTTTTGTTTGTACAGATGAACGTGGTACCTTCAGGCATTTGGAAATTGCTCCCAAGGATGAACCAGACTTGTGGAGGTCTACAATATTTTTCCTGGTGTCCTGGCTGATTTTTTTGATTTTCCCATGATGTCAAGCAAAGAGGCACTGAGTTTGAAGGTAGGCCTTGAAATACATCCACAGGTACACCTCCAATTGACTCAAATTATGTCAATTAGCCTATCAGAAGCTTCTAAAGCCATGACATAATTTTCTGGAATTTTCCAAGCTGTTTAAAGGCACAGTCAACTTAGTGTATGTAAACTTCTGACCCACTGGAATTGTGATACAGTGAATTATAAGTGAAATAGTCTGTCTGTAAACAATTGTTGGAAAAATGACACAAAGTAGATGTACTAACCAACTTGCCAAAACTATAGTTTGTTAACAAGAAATTTGTGGAGTGGTTGAAAAACGAGTTTTAATGACTCCATCCTAAGTGTATGTAAACTTCCGACTCCAACTGTATATATTGAGGTGAGAGCATTGGAAATGCTTTTGGTGGTTGACCTGCTTCTGTTCTGTGGGTGGCACTGCGTGCTGTTTTCGATGGATGGGTCCTGGCCTCTCGGGGGCCCTAGGGATTCAGGGGGACGGGGGTGGTATGCCGATCACTGGGATGACGGCCCAACTTGGGATGGGGAGGGGCTTTAGCAGGCGGAATAGTGGAGAACAAAATATACTTCTCCCATGGGCAAAGAAATGGGCAAAGAAACTCAAAAGGGGTAATGATATTAATTAACAGTAATTTCGATCCGAATGTGCAAATTGTCCAAACAGATCCGCAAGGTAGATGGATTATTTTAAATATGTTATTGGACCATAAACAGATATGGCTCATTAACCTTTACGGACCAAATAATGATGATCCACACTTATTTGACAACATATGTAATAAATTGTCAACCCTGCAAGCAATACAAGACTCTATTATTATGGTGGGGGATTATAATACCGTTTTAAATAGCTCAATGGACCGTAAAGGAAATCACACTACAAACTATCACCCTCATGCTCTTAAGGAAATCGT